TTGACGGTTGGACAAGATGATCTTGAAGGTCCCTTCCAACCTAGAAGATTCTGTGATTCTGTGACTTCTAGTCAAGTGCCACTGTGGAGGTGCTGGCTGTGGAGTTACGTATGGGTTGGTTATTTCAGCTGTCACAGCGTGGGTTTCCTTCAGCACCTCCAGTAATGAGGTTTTGCAGCAGTTTGCTTTGATGGGAATGTTCCTTCCCCCTCTGTAATGGGAAGAAAACACTGGGGTTGAACCTGTTGGTAATTCTGGTCACTTGAGAAGCTTAGGACCTGCTCTTTGGGGTGTTTTGGGAGTGACTTATTTGGGGTGACCTGGGAGTCCTGGTGGGCAACAAGTTGTCTGTGAGCCAGCAATGTGCCCTTGTGGCCAAGGAGGCCAATGGTCTCCTGGGGGGGCATCAAGAAGAGTGTGGCCAGCAGATGGAAGGAGGTCATCCTCCCCCTCTGCTCTGCCCTGGGGAGGCCCCATCTGGAGCACTGGGACCAGTTCTGGGCTCCCCAGTTCCAGAAGGACAGGGAACTGCTGGAGAGGGGACAGCAGAGGCTGTGAGGATGATGAGGGGGCTAGAAGATCTACCCTCCTTTCAGGGAGTTGGAGAGAGCCAGAAGGTCTCCCCTCAGCCTCCTTTTCTCCAGGCTGAACACTCCCAGCTCCCTCAGAGGTTCTCCAGACCCTTCTCCTTGTGCCCCAGACCCCTCACGAGCTCCATTGCCCTTCTCTGGACACGCTCCAGCCCCTCAAAGTCTTTCCTGTCGGGGTGGACCCAAAACTGCACCCAGCCCTTGAGGTGGTGTCTCCCCAGTGCCCAGTCCATTGAGGCCATTTCCTCCCTCCTTTCAGGGAGTTGGAGAGAGCCAGAAGGTCTCCCCTCAGGGACCTTAAGGACCTTAAGTCCTTCATAAGGGCTTCCCATTCCTGACAGCCCTATATTTAAGCTGCTCAGCCCCAGCGTGGAAGAAAGAGAAGGTGGTGATGTGGTGTTTTTTCACTAACATTAACCTCTTACTGTTGCACACTTGGTGTGTACCCAATGTTGTGTGATAAATGTGACTTCAATTTAGTGATGTGTTTCTCCAGGTGTGGCAGTTATCGGAGAGAATCAGTATCAACGTGTGCTCGCTGCTGGACTGGAAGCGCTGCCTGGCCATCCACCTCTGGTACCTGCTGCCACCAACAGCTTCTGTGTCCAAGGCACTTGCCATGTACGAGGCGGCCTTTCAGGTGGGTCAGTCGTGCCTGGGGAAAAGCAGATCTTTCTCAGAACCATTAACTCTTTGGTGCTGCCCTGAGACAGGCCTGTGTCAGGAACAGCGTGGGGAGTAGGGCCCGAGAGGTGATTGTCCCCCTGTACTGGGCACTGGTGAGGCCTCACCTTGAGTACTGTGTCCAGTTTTGGGCCCCCTACCATAAAAAAGACATTGAGGTGCTGGAGCGGGTCCAGAGAAGGGCAACAAAGATGGTGAGGGGTCTGGAGAATAAGTCTTATGAGGAGAGGCTGAGGGAGCTGGGGGTGTTCAGCCTGGAGAAGAGGAGGCTGAGGGGAGACC